TATTGAAATTTGTAAACTACTATTGAGTTCTCTTCCTACTGTAAGATAAAAGGCTATATGTAGTACATTTGGTATAGGATTATTGAAAACATGAGTTATTGTATTCTATTGTCTTATGACACTATTAATTTCCGGATGGTCTTTGGAAGATGAATAAATCTTGAGACTGTTCATTGTGGTGGACTTCTTTAATCTCAGCATTTGGGAGGCAGAGTCAAATGGATTTCTGAGAGCTGAAGGCAATCTGGTCTGCATAGTGAAGGTCCAGGCCAGCTAGGGCTATATAGTGAGAATCTGCCTACAAATAAATAGGGCTGGAGAGCACTTGCTCTTCTTAGAGAGGACTAGGGTTTGGTTCCTAGCATCCATATAGTAGCTCACAACTACCTATAGCTCCAGTTTGAGGGGATCCAACACCTCCTTTTCTCAGTAGGCACTTTTGTATACACATAAAATGAAAACGAATCTTTAGGAATGTTTTTTGAAGGACGTTCAACAGAACTTTATTACTGTTTTGTCTAATCTTGTTTGGTGAGTGTATTCATGCTTCTGTGTTGTGGGAAAACAGTTTGTGGTCCACCAGTTAGCCTTAAAGATAATAGCCTAGAGTTTCAGTGTGCAGATGACAGAACTAATATTTTGGAGGTAAAAGTAGAGCATATCTGAAGCATGTTATTTTGTTTGCTGGCTCTGTCAAAAAGTTAAAAAAGTGGGAAAGATAGGGTAGCATACATCTTTAATCCCAGCACTTAAGAGGCAAAGACAGGCCGATCTCTGAGTTGGAGGACAGCTTGGTCTACAAAGTGAGTTCCAGGACAGCCAGGGCTACACAGAGAAATCTAGTCTCAAAAAACCACCACAAATGGGGGGGGGGGTCTGAATGATAACCTGTGGTGTTTGAGTTTATTTTTTATGAGATACAGAAATTTAGTTTTTTTCTTTTTTTCAGTGCACAAGGTAGAATCCATAGCTTTGCATATGCTAAGTAGGGACTCTACCATAGAGCTACATTTCCATTCCAACAGACCAGAAAAAGGAGTAGAGGAGGTGCCGTAGATTCTTAGTTTAAAGCTCACATAGGAACAGAAGTTAACTCTAGTTAAGCTTGCCATTTAGAGTCAGAAGTATGTGTGATGAAGGATGGCTCTTTAATGTAGTATAATTAGATAGAACTCAGCTGTAGGAAGAATGATTGAGTGGTTTATAGGCCACTCATAATTCATATCATCTAGAAGAAATAAAGCAATAAAAATAAACGGCTAGAGTATGATTATATTGCTGTAACATTTTTGTTTTTCTTTGTGGGTTAAAGCTTTCTCATATATTTTTCATTTCTAGTACCTGACTCTGCTTGACACTAAAAATTCTCAGCAGATATTTCATGAATGGATGGTTGTATATAGAACTTTCACTTAAGAAAGCTTAGTTTATCTGTATCAAATTGTTTTTGGACTTTTGTAAAAGGGCCACAGGGAAAAAATAAATCTTATTGCTCTTGAGGTATCATCTGGCCAAATCCTTTCCTTTTCAATCAAGGTAAACATTCATAGTTTATCACATTACGTCACCTGAAGCCTAGTTCTCTGCTGTTATGATTGACAAGGAAGTGGGTAACAGTTTATTTCTCTGCTAAACATTTTTCTAGTTCATGCTCTAAAAGTAGCCCATGGTGTTATTATCTTAGCATTCTTTTTAGTGCTAATGGTTTTAACCTAGCTTATATTCCTTGCCTAAATAATGTTCATTAGGAGTTATAAAATTGCTATATCTTGTACATTATAGAATTGACTTTTAATTCTTTCATTTGATTTATTAGCTGTTTTGTCTCTCCGAAGCAGGGTTTTCTATGTTACCTTAGCTATTTAATTTAATATGTATGGGTGTTTTGCCTTAATATATGTCTCTGCACCACTTGTGTGTCTGGTGGCCTCAAGAGGCCAGAAGGGGCCGTTAAATTTGCTGCAACAGGAGTTACAGACAGTTGTGAGCCACCATCAGGGTACTGGGATTGAGCCCTGGTCCTCTGAAAGAACAGACGGGGATCTTAAACTTTGAACCATCTCTTCTTTACTAGCCACAAATCAGGCTTTGTTAGTTGTCATTCTTTTGTAAAGTAGTGCTTTCCTTTAGCTGAGGTTTGATTCCTCTGAATGCCCTTCATTTCTGAAAGGATAACTAGATAAGCTTTTCTCTCTCTCTCTTTTTAAATTACTGTTTTTATTGAGTTATATATTTTTCTCTGCTCTCCTCCCTTCTTCCCCATTCTCCTTCTACCGTCTTCCATGATCCCCGTCCTCCCAATTTACTCAGAAGATCTTGTTTTATCTACTTCCCGTATAGATTAGATCCATGTCTCTCTTAGGGTCCTCTTTGTTGTCTAGGTTCTCTGGGATTGTGAATTGTAGACTGGTTTTTCTTTGCTTTATGTGTAAAAGCCACTTATGAGTGCATACATATTATATTTGTCTTTCTGGGTCTAGGTTACCTCACTCCATATGTTGTTTTCTAGATCCACCCATTTGTCCACAGATTTCAAGGTGTTATTATTTTTTCCATCGTGTAGTACTCCATTGTGTAAAATGTACCACATTTTCTTTATCCATTTTTCTGTTGAGGGGCATTTAGGTTGTTTCTAGGTTCTGGCTATTGCAAATAATGCTGTTACAAACATAGTTGGCCATTCTTACAGGTGTAAAATGGAATCTCAGAGTGGTTTTGATTTGCATGTCTCTGATGGCTGAGGATGTTAAACATTTTCTTAAGTGTCTTTTAGCCATTTCAGATTTGTCTGTTGAGAGTTCTCTGTTCAGGTCTGTACCCCATTTTAAGAAAGCGTCTTCAACAAATAGTGCAGGCATAACTGGATATCAACATGTAGAAAAATGAAAATAGATCCATATCTTTTGCCATGCACAAAACTCAAGTCCAAATGAATTGAAGACCTCAACATAAATCTAACCATTCTGAACCTCATAGAAGAGAAAGTGGGAAGTAAGTACACTTGAACGCATTGGCACAGGAGACCACTTCCTAAATATAACTCCAGTAGCACAGACACTGAGAGCAACAATTAATAAATGGGACCTTCTGAAACTGAGGAGCTTCAGTAAAGCAAAGGACAGGCATGGTCAACAGGACAAAATGACAGCCCCAGAATGGGAAAAGATCTTCACCAACCCCACATCGGACAAGGGGCTGATCTCCAAAATATACAAAGAACCCAAGAAACTGGTCATCAAAAGAACAAATAATCCAATAAGCCTTTCTCTTTAGGTTATCAGCTCTCTGGTTTTTCTGCATCAAAGTGACTAGTTTGCATACTGGTCTCTGCTACTTGCTCTCTTCTGCTCTCTCCTTCTTCTTGATTTGATGGTTATTGTAGTAGTATCTCTGCTATTATTTCATCTTCTACATTATGCTTTTCTGTAGGACATGTAGCATCATGTTAATCCCTCTTATTTTAGCATTCTTTCTTTGAGGTACTCATATTTTATTGATTGTGCTTTAGTCTATTATAATTGTGATTTTTTTTTACTAAATTATCACTATGATCAATGAAATAGTTCCTTTAGATTTTGCTTTTTGGCACTGAAAGATATACTAGATTTATGTTTATTTTTTGTATCATATTTACAACTATCTTTTGTTGTTGGTAGTTTCTTTTTCTGAAGTTTCATTTTTCTCTGATCATTATTACTTCAAAAATAGTAAGTGGAAAATTACTGAAGTAAGCATAAACTCATAAGTTTTAGATCACAAGCCATTTCAATAGCATGCTTAATACTTGTGCTTTCCCACACCCAAGAAATGATTCATGCAGCCAGGCGGTGGTGGCACACGCCTTTAATCCCAGCACTCGGGAGGCAGAGGCAGGCGGATCTCTGTGGGTTCGAGGCCAGCCTGGTCTACAAAAGCTAGTTCCAGGACAGGCTCCAAAGCTACAGAGAAACCCTGTCTCAAAAAACTTGAAAGAAAGAAAGAAAGAAAGAAAGAGAAATGAATCATGCATGCCTTTATCCCATAAATTCATATTGTATATATTACCAGCCCCTTAATCATTTGCTCTGGCATATTAGATGAACTATGATAGTACCACAGTAACTAGTGTTTAAGTAATTCTTATTTTACTCGGTGTCCCCAAGACACTAGATACTAGCAATTTGGTGGATACACTGAAGAGAAGTGTAAGCGGCTTATCTAGAGTATAGAAGTTTGCCCCATATATATGATAGTGGAGTTTATTCTAAGATTCTCAGTGGATGCCTAAGACTCTAATGATACCAAATCCTGTGTATATTGGATACATATACATTTATGTTTAATTTCTAAATCTTAAGCATGATGGATTAATAACAGATTAATGAACTTGCTTTTCTTAAGTTGAGAACTTTTATAAGTCAAAGAAAACAGTGTGGATATACTGTATAAAAGCATGATTCCCTGGGTTCCACATGGTAGAAGGAGAGAGTGTTTTCTGCAGATTTCCCTTTGACCTCTACTGTATGGCACCTGCAGTTTACATTGATTCAGTTGTAGTTACTCATGTGATGTTTATATTTTCTTATTTTTGGCCAATGGAACCCTTTTCAAGCTAACAGTATGTTTTCTTCAACTATCTCATCTTTATTATCTTTCTGGATTTAATCAGCTGTATCCTGGCTCTAAAAAATCGCTATTTCTAGCCTGGCGGTGGTAGTGCATGCCTTTAACCTCAGTACTTAGGAGGCAGAGGCAGGTGTATTTCTGTGAGTTCAAAGCCAGCCTGGTCTATAAGAGCTAGTTCTAGGATGGGCTCCAAAACTACAGAGAAACCGTGTCTCGAAAAACAAAAAACAAACAAAAAAATTGCCATTTCTACGTGAAACTCCTAGTACCTTTTGGTAACAAATTGTATTTAATGAATGATCCTAATATAGGTGTCTGCTTTTTAAAAAAATGATACTTTTATTTGGTTCTTCAGTATGTACTGATCCGTTTCTTTTCTTCATTTTTTTTAACAGGCATGCCCAAAGAAAAATACGAGCCCCCTGACCCTCGGAGGATGTACACAATTATGTCCTCTGAGGAAGCAGCAAATGGAAAGAAATCACATTGGGCAGAGCTTGAAATAAGTGGTAAGACATGGAAACATGGATTTATGTATAGAAATTAAAAATTTTGTGGAAAGTTAGGTTTTCTAATACTAATATATAAAAACAGCACATAATTTGAATCAGAATTTAAATCTCATTGACTGCCCATTACTTACTTGTACTTGTGTGTGCTCTTCCTCTCACTTCCTTAAGATGTCATGAACTCTAAGGATAGGGACTGTAGATTTTAGGGTTTTTATTAATATGTTCACTTTGTTGTTTTGGTATGTAAGACGTAAGCTTGTATTTGGAAACAGTCTAGTTGAAGTCTTAATGTTGAGACTGTTTTCATAAAGATGATTTAGCTTAAGTTTTCTCTTTTTCTTTTCCAAGACAGGGTTTGCATAGTCAAAATGAAGCTCAGTATGTTCTTCGTTTTGAGTATTTTCTACAGATGGGCGCATGGGTCCAGAGTCTAAAACAGACCTGAGGTTTAAGCTTTTGGACAGGATTTAAGGTGCTTTTTTCATAGGTGTCATCATGCAGATGGTGCAGTACCTTTGCTGTAGGAGCAATGTTAAGACCCGAAAGCTTTCCTATTGCTGTTTCTTGGCCAAAGCCATTAATTCTTTGAGGATTGCAGTATAGATTCTTTTCTATAATTTTTTTCATTAGCTGAAATATATTTATAAAAAGTGACATTCTTCTGTTTATCTTTTATTGCCTGATTGTCCTTGTTAGGGTTTTTATTGCTGTGAAGAGACACCATGACCACAACAGCTCTTATAAAGGAAAATATTTAGTCGAGGTTTAGTCTACACTCAGGTAGACATAGTGCTGGAGAGGTTCCTGAGAGTTCTATATCCAGACTGTTGTAGGAGCTGCGGGCCTCTTCCCACTGCCGGGCTCCTGGTCGCCTGGCTAGCTTATGTCCCGAAATAATTATTTCTTTTAAACACTGCCTGGCCTATTACTATTAATGTGTGTAACACCAAGGTGCGCTTACCGGGAAGATTCTAGCCTACGTCCATCCTGGGTCAGAGCTTCATCGTGTCTGCTCCAGAGAGGAGAGCTATCGAGTCTGAGCTCACTTCCTCTTCCTCCCAGCATTCTGTTCTGTTTACTCCACCCACCTATGTTCTAACCTATAAAATGGGCCATGACCTTCCTCCATCATTTCCCCTTTTTCTGTTTAAACAAAAAGAGGAAGGCTTTAACTTTAGCATAGAAAAATTACATATAACAAAACAGTTATAAAGTGAGAATTACAGTTACAGTATTTACATCTACTTTATCTTTTATCAAAACTAAGGAAAACTATAACTATATATTCTTTAACTCCATCAAAGACTCCAGAAGGATATAATATTACCTAATTAAACAAGAAATAAGCAACTTTCAAAACTCTAGAAATGACAGAGACATCTCGCTGCCTGGACAGTCACCCAAAGTTCCTCTATACCGTTGGGGCATTCATCTTCGGCCTATAGGCCCATAGTATCCAGCAGACTTTTTCCATGGAGCAGGAAATTTCAAAGGCAGTTCAGTCACTATCTGCTGTGTCTTGCAGAATGTCTCGCAGACTCTTTCATGAATCAGGAACCCCGAAAGACCATCTCACCTTTAGGCAAGTTCAGCAGTCCTCTCTCTGAGGGTTCTCTGTGTCCACTTTATGCAATAGTCCAGGCAAGAGCAGTTTCTTGCCCAAATGGCTATCAAACTCCATAAGGATCCTCTTCGATGCCCATCTTCCTCTTGAAGTAGATTGGTGCTCTCAGGAGCAAAGTGTCTCATTGTCATGAAAAGTCCTAAGTTATTAAAACATTTAAAATGTCTTATTCTGTAGTTTTTGAAAGATATGAGGAATGCCTATCTGAAATATATCTATGTACATCTAGAAAATCTAACTAACATGACTACAAGCTTGACTTATTATTGATGACTATCCATTAACAACCTATATACATTACATTTTTAAATGAACTACACAATCAAAATACCTTAATCAAGATCAGAAATACATATACATATAACAAAATTGACCTTAAATTTAAATAACTGAAGCAAAATCCATATCCATGCAAATTATCCATATCTATATCAAAGACTGGCAAGCAGCAGGAAGAGAGAAAGGTGCTGGGCCTGGCTTGGGCATTTAAAACCTAAAACTGACCCCTCCTTCTCCATCAAGGCCATACTTCCTAATGTCACTCCCTAAACATCTTATGTTTAGGGAGTCTATGGGGTCTGTGGGGTCATTCTCATTCAAACCACCACACTGATAAACATTTTGTATAGGAAGGAAAGCTATCTGTCTTTTTATAGGTATGTATGCCAGAGGTTGGTGGTAGGTGTCTGCTCAGTTGTTCTCCACCTTAGTTTTTGAGGCTTTTTCTTTTGCTGAAAAACTTCCTAGCAAAACTGAATCTAAGTCTGTAGTTCCTATATTCCTGCCTATAACAGTCTTCTCCCATAGCTGACATCTTTTATCAGTGATACATTTATTACAATTAGTAAATTGACACATCATCATTCAAAATCTGTAGTTTACGTTAGGGTTTCCTGTGGTGTTCTGCATAATGGTACAGAGGGTATAGAGCAGAAGTTCTCAACCTGTGGGTTGGGGCCTCTTTGGGGTCATATTCCAGATATTTACATTATGATTTATAACAGTAGCAAAATTAGTTATAAAGTAATGAAACTTTTTTTTGCTGTTTACTTTATTTACTTTGTTTTTTCTTTGCAAATGGGCAGTACTGTACTGTTGACAGAAACTTACATTGAGTGGGAAGGCAATCTCCAATTAGAAACTGGCAACACAAGACTCACCACAAACATATCAGTAAAGGCATGTCAGGAGAATGCAAGGAAAAAGAATCCATTGGGATCACAGTATGATCTTATAGAAAATGGTGGAAGTCAAGGCATAAGCAGAATTCATCATGATGTTTATGGTGATTAAGAGGTCCCCGTAAGACTATGGGGATCAACTGTAGCTCCCTAAGTTTCCCCCTGACTCTCATCTCTTCCATGAACATTTTCATATAATCTCCTTCTCCACCCAACACATCATTAATCTGCCTATTGGGTATGACTCATCAGAAGTTAGGGGCAGGTCGACCAGCCTGTCCTCTGGTTCTGGTTGTTTACAACAGGCTGGAGGCCATAACCTCCTCCCTAAGGATAGTTTTCCTGTCAATTCTGCAGGGGCTGCTCCATTTCTTCATTTTTCTGGATCTCTGCCTTGCCACATAGACCTCTCAATTCTTACTGCAAGATGCGTTGCCACAGCTCTCAGCAGACCTGCTCTGCTCGGTCAGGGCCTGATGCTAGCCCGCCGTGCGCAGGGAAGCATGGAGCTGGTGGCCAGAAGCAAGTCTCAATGAAATAATTGTATGGTTGGGGGTCACCACAACATGAGGAACTGTTTTAAAGTATTGCAGCATTTGGAAGGTTGAGAGCCACTGGTATAGAGTCATGGATCCACCATTATAGTATTACACAGAATAGTTTTTCTTCTCAAGAAATTCTGTTTCAGAATATTTATTCTCCCATGCCTGGCAATCATATTTCTGTTCTCATAGTTGCGTCTTTTTTGTGAAGGTGGAATAATTGGAATCATACAGTATGTATTCTTTTCAGATCGGCTTTTTTCACTGAATCCTGTGCCTTTCGTGACTCAGTTTCATTCTCCTTAGCCCTGCATAATGCCACACTATCTGGAAGTACCATCATCTCTTGCTTACTCATGTCCTAAAGAACATCTTGAGTTCTTGCATGTTTTGGCATTTTTACATATTGCTACTCCAAACATCTGCCTCTGGATTTTGCTAAGGACAAAGAAGCTCATATGCTAAGAGTATGCTTGGTTTTTACGAGAAACTACTCAAGTGTTTTCTGAAGTGCAGCTGTGTACTGTGTTTCCACCAGAGTGAACAAAAATTCCTATTTTACAGTCTCGTTAGGATTTCTTGTCCTCGGTGCTTTGAGTTGGCCATCGTGATGGTGTGTGTTGGTTATCTCCTTTTAAATTCAGTTTCTTAATGACATGTAGTATTATCTTTTCATATGCTTGTCATTGATGTTTTCTTTGATAAAGTATCTGTTCTGATCTTTTGACCATTTTAAATAAGTTTTTTCTTTTGTTGTTTAGCTTTTAATAGATCTCTATATAGCATAAGTAACAGCTCTGTTGTGGCTTAAATGCGAAATGTCCGCCTTTAGGTTGCTGTGTTTAAATACTTGGTCTCTAGCTGATGGTGTGAGAGTTCTGTAGACTTTAGGAGGTGGAGTTGTGGAGGAAGTGGGCCATTGGGGAAAGGCCTTGAGGCTGTATCTGTCTTGGTTCCATTTTCTGTTCATTCTGTTTTCCTGAAAGTTGATGCTGTATTGACTTCTTGGTTTTGCCAACATGCCTTTTCTGCTTTCTACCTTCCTTGTCTTTCCTGCTGTGTTGAAATGGAGGCCCTAGAATAGTGATTCTCAAGTTGTGGGTTGTAACTCCTTTAACAAACCTCTTATCTCCAAAAATATTTACATTATGATTCATAATGTAAAATTACAAAATTTACAAAATTTCCAAATGTAGCAAAATTACAGTTACGAAGTAGCAGCCAATCAATTTTTGTTGTAGAGAGGCCTCTTGCTTGTTCCCAGCTGCCCAGACTCCTGAAATAATCACACAGAAACTATATTATTTGCAATACTGTTTGGCCAATAGCTTAAGCATATTGTTAGCTAGCTTTTACATCTAGAATTAATCCATTTCCATTATTTTATATTTTACTACAAGGTTCGTGGCCTACTGGCAAGGTTCCAACATGTTTGTCTCCGGTGGCAGCTCCATGGCTTCTCCAACTCTACCTTCTTTCTTCTAGCATTCAGTTTAGGTCCCCCTGCCTCCCCAGATCTACTTGGCCCTATCAGGCCAAGCCAGTTTGTTTGTTAACCAATGATATTCACAGCATGTAGAGGGGAATCCTACATCACCTCCCCTTTTCTGTTTAAATAAAAAAAGGAAAGTTTTAACTTTAATATAGTAA